TGTCGAACTGTGCGCCGTAATTACGCTTGGCACGGGGCTGTTCGACAGATCCGATGAAGTTGTCAGGTCGGCGGCGTCACAACTGCCTGGGTTTGGAGCTCTCCGGTCTGCCATGATGGTCACGATCATTGGATTGGTACTCAGGATCATCACGATGGCGGTCACAATCATCATTACGTCGGTCGTCATGGTAGTCGTCGTCGCGACGCGTTGGGCGATCGGTCCAGGGAGCTCGGCCGACTTCTTCTTTATGGTGCTGTTCAGGCTCTTTAGCATCGGTATACTGGTTGGCCATCTGGAGCATCTCACCGATCGAGACCGGTGGTTTCCTGTTAAACTTCCTATGGAGGTCATCGTGATGATAGAGCTCACGGACGAAACAGGTGAGCACTTCGAATTCTAGGATGTTAGGGATCTAGTTTCTTACTTCTGAGAAGGGCCGGATGTAGCTTCGAAGGAGCTCTCCTGTCCTCTGGTAGATCCTGGCCAGGTCATGCTTCGTTGTTGGACGCTCATAGGTCGCTTTGTAGCTTTCGATGAACATTCTCTTGAGGTCATCCAAGGAGTCAATAATATCTGGCTCGAGGCTCGTGAGCCAATTCATGGTGGCGGGCTGGAGCATAACTGGCAGGTAATTTGCCATCACGTCGGTGTCACCACCGCCAGCTTGGACGTCCATGGCATAACTTGTCAGCCACTACTTGGGATTGGCGTGTTCGTCGTATGGCTGGACCCCATAGATCTTAAAGTTTGCAGGCCTACGTCCGGCATGGAGCCTTGTTGTGAAAGCTCGCGGGCCATCAGTGACAATGGCGACATCGTCAACAACTTGTGGAGCGACGGCTGCTATGACTCATGGAGCGGCGGCGCTGGTAGCAGGTCGGATAGCAACGCTGGTCAAGGGCCGGGCGGCATTATCGGAGTTAGCTGGCTTAATCAGCTCAAGAACGGCCTCGGGATTGCCCCATTCTTGGTCATACTCCTATCGGCGAAGCATTTCACCCTCGTGGCGTGAGTTGCGATTCCTATTAATGCGATCGCAAATGTAGTGGAGTTGATTGAGGTAGCCCCGAGTGTCTCCACCAGGGGGTTGGTTGACTTCCTGGTTGGCATAGCGCGGCGGCTGATCGGGGTTGACGACGTAGTTACTCCTTGATCCCCTCTGAAGATAGGGGTCGTCGGCCCTAAATTGACTTCCACTAGGTCGCTGAGATCGGGACCGCCGTGGCCCGGCGGATCAGTTCGACCCGGTGGAGTGAGATGGAGCTTGATTCTCACGAATCTCAAGGACCTAAACTACCATTGCTTTAAGCATTGTAGTGGCCTTGGCGCCCTCTGGAGTCTGCTGGAGCCTGCCTAGCTCATTCATGGCCACAGTGAGGTTGGCACTCGGTGTTTGCTGGACCTCATGCCCGTCGACTTGCATGAACTCATTATTGAGATCACAGGCAATGCGGCGGCCTCCTTGCTGGTTGGTGTCACCACCCTCGATGGCTGCACCACTACTAGCTACGGTAGCGCCCTCTGCTGTGCGGCATCTGGCGCGGTTAGTGTTGTGTTCCCGAGCGATGCGCTGGGAATTGGTTTCCCCGTCCCGAGGGGGGCTATCATAGCTGATCATGAAAAGCTCCCTAGGGAAACATCTGGGCGGTGAAGGAATCTCGGTGAGGATGTCGATGATGGTCTCGGTGATAGTTTTGGTGGAGCCTTCCGATTCTGCCCTTGGATCCCCCTCCAAGATGGGGAGTATGGAGTCATCATCGAGCTGACGAATCTGCACCATGTTGACTGCTAGCGCAAACTGGTCGGCGATGGGCAGATCGGGCTCGGAGAGCGGGTGGACGTGACCGATCTGGTCTGCGTAAAGATCGCATAAGGCATCTTGGTAGATAGCGGCCGCATTGGTCAGCCCATAGGGATGGGCGGCCGTGAAGCCTTGCGTCGTAGCTTCTTGCCCGGCCTTAGGCGGACCAGGTCTGGAGAGAGGTCAGCGCTACACCATGCGCCTAGTGGGAGTCGCTGTGATGGTCAGATCTGTATCTTGCCACCTCGGGTGGTGCGATCGAGCGGAATGCTTGGAGCGAACTGTCGTGAAGTGCTGGAGCAGCGGGAACTCATCATCGTAAGGAGACGGATGCATGACCAACTCCATGAGCGATAAGCACTTAGCGAGCTTTTGATCCACCCGATCTATAGAGGAAATCAGATCGTCCTGTTGGATAGGCTTCCTCAGTCGGTGTGGCGCCGATGGAGGAGTTGCTGGGGAAGAAGGCGACCCCAGGAGAGATCCCGAGATCAGATCTGCTGGCGCAGCAGCAGATGCAATCGGCACAGGATTGCCCTGCACCGGCTGGACGATTTCCTCGTCGCCGTTGGCGTTGACGACCCAGGTGATGGATCTGACCGTAAAGAATTGGCCGGGCCTGGGAGCGAACGAAGAGCTCGGAAGACGTACCATCTGGCTTGGTATGGATCAAGCGCACACCCCTACCTAGTGCGCCAACCGTCAACTAAATATGCTGGGCAGTCCACTAAGGGGGCTACCCGCGATGGTAGATTTGTCGGATAGGTGAGCGAGATCAGGGGCGAGATGGTGACAAGACACAAGGTTTATACAGGTTCAGGCCGTCAACTTGACGTAATACCCTAATCCTGTGTCATATCGATTTGTATTGGCTATTGTATATGATTGCGTGTGTTTTGAGGGGGTCCCCTACCCACCTTATATAGCCCCGGGGTAGGGTTACATGTCGGTCAGGTCTAAGTCCAATTGGGTAAGATACAATCTTTACATGGAATATTACATTCAGCATACTATGCTATCTTCAGGATGTCGCTGTGGTGCCTTGCGGCATGCGCCGAGCAGTGCTGTGCGCCACAAGCCTCCGTCTTGTGGGCTAGACCGTCCCTGTCAGTGCGGCCCATGTGCATAGCCGTGGGTAACTGGGGTCAACCCCCCACGCATCCATCTACTAGGTCAGAAATGCTACAACACATAAACATCCACGCTTAGCATTGTTGTTAGTAATAAAAATATCTTCTCGTACCATTACCATAGAAATATCCTTTCCTAACTAGTGTTTTTCCTATGCTTTTCCCCACTTATGAAGAAAATTAGTATGGGCTTGTGAGGCATCAGGTTGGCGTTGAAAGCACATGTTTTGCTGGTGTTTCGGTTTGAAAACAGGGTCGGCCCTGGGGAGAGGTACACCACACACCAGGTGCAGATGCCCATGCTCCGTTGTTCATCCCCAAGATTATTTAGTCGAGAGCGACCGGAAGAAAACTGAGACCGAGACCAAATAAATTTACTGATCCGCACTTCAAGAGGTGGCGAGTGAAGTTATGGTTGGTTTTACTACTGATGTGTACTTCAAGAGGTGGCAAGTAAAGCTATGGCTTGGTTTTACTACAGTGTGCACTTTAAGAGGTGACACTGAAGCTACGGCTGGTTTTACAACCGAATAGATTTACCGATTTGTACTTTAAAAGGTGGTAAGTGAAGGTCAATGGAATAGATCATGCAACAAATTTACCGATGAACACTTGAGGTGACAAGTGAAGATCAACACAAGATGATAAGAGGAGGCTCTATTGACTTCAATATCATGTCTTGAATAGAGTTAAAAAAACTTCATATAAACAAGGAAAAAGTCTATTTTTAGCTCTTGAACTTTTATTGAGTACTTCCTAAGTCGTTTTAGACAGCAACATGTCTACAAAATATAACTTTGACTTCTTTTTTTTAAAATATTTATTGAAAAGTGATATGTGTATATTTTCATGAAAATATTTTTCAAGACAAAACTATTCATATGATTTTCACATTTCTAAACTCAACAACTTAAAAGTCATTCATGGTTTATATTCCCAATGTTTAACCCAAACTTTGTCTAAAACGACTTTATTTTTTAAGTACGAAGGGAGTATAGATTTAACCCTCGATCTCTAAAACCATATATGCTACCCTCCAACTATTAAAACCAAACAACTTTAGCTCATGGCTAGTTTCGAAGGTGGTTTTGAGTATATATGTATTTTTTTGAAAAAATAAATGTAAATTGCTAAAATGTATGAATATTTTTTAATCAGAAAAATAAAGTTTTCTAAAAATACAATATACCTATTTAAATAATTTAGTTATGATTTTTAGAAATTTAAATATTATTTTATTTAAAATATAATATATATGTTTAAAGTTCTCTTATTTTAAAATTTAAAAAATTTAAATTATTGGAACAAATTCAAATGGACAAATGACCAAACCCAAAGTTGTAGATCTTATGAGGTTTACAACTTTGTAATTGATGATTGTTTCATTTGAAATCATTTACATACCCAAAATTATGTTTGAAGTTCTCGTATTTTTTAATTAAATTTTTTATTGTTCGAACAAACTCGAATGAAGAGTGATCATAATAAATTTATAGCTGATAGCTTTTTTATTTAAAATCATTTACGATCCTATAATTCTTTTTGAAGATCTGATATTTTGATATTTATTTTTTTCAAATTGTTTGAATGAACTTGGATGGAGAAATGACCAAAATAGATCTACAACATTGTAGTTGACGACCATTTTATTTTAAATCATTTACGCTCTCAAAATTCTGTTCAAAGTTCCCATATTTTAAAATTCAGAGTTTTCGAATTGTCCAATTCAACTCATGTGAATCAATTACCAAAATTAAAGCTATAGATCTCGATGATATAGATTATATTTTTAAAAATTATTTTGTACCAATTTCATTTTTTTGTTTTAAAAAGAATTAGTTATGAATTTCGACTATTTACCTATTATTTTATTATTTTGTTGAGAGTGTACTCATACTCAACGCACAATACGACGCTGTTTACGGCTTTTGTTGAGCACTTCGCCTGCTCCCTTCTCGTGCTGTCCCTATTCGTCTCCGAGATTCCTCCGACTGTCGTTCAATCAGAGCGTGGAGCATTCAAGATTCACTCTCCGCCATCAGGAGGGGACCGCAGCGGCCGAGGCGATGGGGCGGCCGAGGCCCAAGAGAGGAGAACGGCGGATCGACGCCGCCATTGACCACCTCGCCCAGTACGGCTTTGCCAAGCCCCAAATCCGCAAGATCATCAACAACCTCCTGCAGGTAGCTGTAGCTCCCCTTCCTCAGAAATCTTTCTTGGAATCTTGCCGCCGAGTAGGGTACGTAGGGTACTAGGGTACTTGTAGAGTGTTCTTCTGTCCATGTTCCTCCTCTTCAGAGTTCAGACTTGCTCTGCACCTCAGACGGAAAAGAAAATTCTGCTTTTTTTCCCTCCCAAGATTGCTATATACGTATAGATTCTTGCTATTTCGCTGTGTATGGACGCGGTTGAAATTCTTGTGCTGGTGGAGTAGAAAAGGTAGCGCCTTTCCCTGCTTCAAGAAACCACGGGGACACGGTTAGATTTTTTTGGGGGTTTCTCGATGCAGCGCTTGATCATCTAGCTCAGTGGAGAACATCGCAGTGCTGTGCATCTAAAATTTAGACCGGCGTGCTACAGGATGTTCCTAGCAAAGGAACCACCTTGATTTCGTCCTGTGGGAGAGAGAGGTGGGTGCACTCTCGGTGGTGTCATAATTTTACCTTTTCCCCTTTATTTTTGGGGTGAGGAATGTAGCTAACCTGACACTTTTTTTTCGATTAAAGAGCTGATCCATTGATTGTTCAAATTTTGAAAGAGAGATGGCTCAGTATTTGATTGAGGAATTTCTTTTCTTTTCTGACAAATGCAACAAATGTTGACTGAGGAATAAGGAATACTAACTGGTTTGCCAATGATACTCAATGATACAGCTGTATGGGAGAGATGGGTGGGTGTTCCTGGAGGAGGGATCATACCGTGTCGTGCTTGACAAACTCCTGGAAGAACAGGCGCAGGAGGATCAGGTGAACTCCCTTTCTTCCTTGTCTGTGGCACTTTGTCATCACTATTCTTGAATAGTTGAATCTTGATTTGTATGGCGTGGTTGAGTTCTGTTTGCCTGAATTTTACATCTTAGTTGTGCATAGCTTCTTATTCCAGAATGTAGAGTTGTAGCATTGATCCATAAATACATATATGTGCTGCATACATTCCTTTGGAATATTGATCCATAGATCACAATTTATGCTATTCATCAAGAAATTGTCACGAAAAGCTGCTAGTTTTGACCAAATTACTTTTTGGGATTTATTTTGCCATCCCGTCAGATTTCAAATGGATTGGCTTTTGTTATGCAGAAACAAGAAGCAGCGGCTGCAGAAGAGGCACCACCACCACAAAATGGTATGGAAGTCGCACGAGTGCATGGTGAGGCACTGGATGAATCTCGGTCAGCCCTTGAACTGCAAGCTTCTCCCAACAGTTCACCTCCCCTGGAATGTGTACTGCCACTTCCTCCAGCCAGACCTCCTCGTGCAAGACCTCCATGCTATGGATGGATTAGTGAAGAGTCCGGGACTGAGAGTGAACCAGAGGATGGAGAAATGCTTTCTGTGGAAACGTTGCCTTCTAAGAGGAAGCGACCAAGTAGATGGGATGTGCACCCTAACTGGTAATGATTCTGACTCACCCATGCTTCTTTATTTAATTTGGTATTGTTGACATAATTGTTGTGACTAGTCTGTATTTCTTTTACTGTAACAAGTTTGTAACCGACACTAGCATATCCACTCAACATGATGATCCATATTATCCTTATTTCTGTAAGAACAACAGTTGAGCTTTGGAGCTTCATTTGAATGGAAAGGTCCAAACCCTGCATAAAAGAAGTGAAGTTGGTTAGTTGTATATACCTTTTCTGGTTTTGCATCAATGTCTTTAGGTTGGTACAACTCATGTTTGATCATACACCCTAGGGGTGTCACAGCCGAAGCTCCACAAATAGTTCATCGAAATCAAATCTGAAGGCTGTAAAATGTCATGATAGCAGTAACTGGGTTGCTAGTGGTTGTAAATTTAGTGAGGGAAGACTTTACAATTGCTCCTTTACCTCTGTTAATCTCAATCCATATTAGGGCCACCTCATATCTTATCAAAATCAGAACCTTGTTTTCCTGTTCTAATTGCTCATATCAACTGTATGTTTGTCTTGTGAACCTCAGAGATTAGGACTGAGATCAAATGTGCAAGATGGTGGCCTTCAAGGATCAACTTATATCATGTATATATATGGTGTATTTAGCTGGGAGCAAGGCAGGATGAGACAAATGTAGTGCTAATTGGTTGCAGATTGGCAGCAGAACACATATTGCTTCTGTTTGTGTTTGAGAGAAAAAAAAAATTCTGCTGTTTGACAGTGTGCACTTTAAACTTAGTAGAATTGTGCTTGGTCATCTATCCGAAACTTGGTAACATTTTCTTTTAGAATCTAACGGATCGATTTTCTCTTTACTCATTAAGTTTGGCTATGCAAGTTGATAGCTAATTTCCATGGCTAATTGGTTTGGCATTCCGTGAGATTAAATGATAAAAGAAACCACCATACCAGTGTATGAATAGTAGGACGAGAAGTGAATTTATGAATGCATTCACAGGAGTGGAGGAGTAAAATGGACTCTTTGCACAATTGAGAATCTAGAGGTGGTTCGTCATTCCACCCAGAAACTGCAGAATGATTGCAAACTTATTGTGGCTGATGTGTAGACAAGCAGTGTAAACCCATTTCCCTATCTGTTTGTGCTTCTGATCGGTTTCAGTGCAGCGGAGGGATACTTCGTGTTTCGTATGCGGTAGAGGAACTAATGATGACTCCATATAGATGATTGCACATTTCTGTGAGTATGGCAGTAAGTGGTGGAATAGATCACAGAATGTTAAGGGCCCGTTTGGACCATGGCCATAGTTTGCCAAACTTTTCAATGGAAATGTAATTTTTGAATGGGCCTGATTGATTTTGTATGATGCTTTCCTAGAATATACTGCACAGCTCAAATTAATTGCAACAAATACCGCACTCATGAATCACATGTACGCAGGCACGCAGCTACTAGTTTGAGAAGAAGCGCTAGTTGTTTTTTTTTTTTTTTTTTGCCAAATCCACACATAAGTAGGTGGTGTATGTTTGTGCACATCAGTTTTGAATCTGAGTAAGCTTTACAATTTTGTTTGATTTGGTTAGTTAAAGCTTTAACATAATAGTAATATGTATATTGCAGAAAATGTGACCAGCGATAGAAAGGGCATGTGCCATTAAAATTTATCAAGTTCGGCAACCTTATCCTTTCCACCCTTGCACTGGCACTGCAGCTGAAGTAATGTTTACCTCAGTGATGAGCATGTGCGTTGGTAAATTGTCAAATAACTCTTGTTTATTGTTGACAGAAGGCCAAGCTACCTTTCATCCTTTGGTGACTAGTAGTATTTTTCCTATGCTTCTTCTCGGCTATGAAGAAATTAGTATGTGCCTGTGAGGCATCAGGAAGCCTAGATACTCCCACGTTGGGGTTGAAAGCACGTGTCTTGTGTGACTTTCGGCTTCAACAGAGGGTCGGCCCTGGGGAGAGGTGCACCAGGTGCAGCCGGTCAGGCTCCGGTGTTCATCCCCAAGCATATCAGTCGAGAGCCAAGGAAAACTGAGAGCCCAACAATGGAAAGCAAGCTGTCTCCAGCCTGGACGTCCGTCAGTCATTTGTCTCGTGTCTGCGTGCAAACGGCAAACCGTCCGTCTCTCCCAGGCTCTACACGATCACGCGTTTAAGTCTTCACCAAGACCACCGTGTACACGCACCGCGCGATGGAGAGAGCGATGGACTAGTGAATGTGGCACTGGCGCACTGCGCGCGGCAAGAGGCACCGACTAGCGACGAGTGAGTGCGTGCGCCATGCCTACCCTTGCAATCCCCCTCCACTCCAATCACCAAATCCCAGTAGAGTCCGGGGTCTAAATCCAATCTATAGCATCGTCTCCAGGTCTCTGTAAACATCAAGGTTCCAGCACTTACACTCCAACGGGAGGTTAAGGAAGGTTAGGGCTATGATTTTCTTGTGACATCCATCCTCCAACTATCAAGTGTGAATCTGTGAAGTGTAGAGTATATAGATAATAGACAATAAGTAGTAAGAAATTGGCCCGGCTTCTTGATGCTCATAGTCATATGTTTTTCTACTAATAATTTAGGTGTTGTAAAATTTGCAATGTTGCCAAGGCATTTGTCTGGCATTGAGAAAAAGGAACCAGTAGAAGATCAGTTTATTCAAACACAAAAGGTGGCATACATAAGTTTTTTATTTAGCTTCAAGTAGTGTTCTTACCGATGCTTTTTTTTAACATGGAAGTGATCTCCATTACTCAATAATTGACGCCAAATCTTTGGCCATCAGTACTTCAATACAAGGTGGAATACTGCCTGTGGATCAGTACCCGGACTCAAACTTGCCCCTAGGGCAGCTAGGTTATGAGCGAGCGACCAAATTACAGGAACGGCGATTGTAAGCTACTACTCGTGAGGTGAAATTATAGGAACCAAGATTGTAAGCTACCACTCGTGATAGCAAACTTATTGTGGCTGATGTGTAGTCAAGTAGTGTAAACCCATTTCCCTATCTGTTTGTGCTTCTGATCGGTTTCAGTGCAGCGCGGAGGGATACTTTGTGTTTCATATGCAGTAGAGGAACTAGTGATGACTATATATAGATGATTGCACATTGCTTTGAGTATGACAGTAAGTGGTCGAATAGATAAACAGAATGTTAGTTTGGACCATGGCCATAGTTAGCACTACCAGAATTCTGGGCTTACGTGACAATTAGATTATGACGATAACAGCCTGTTTTCTATCACTGCCTGCCTGCAGTGATGAAGTGGCTGTCACCATAGAAGGTGGGTCACTAACCAGCTTCTGTGACCAACAGAGGACATCGTCATTGATAAAGTGACGATAGTTCTCCTGCCATTGATGCGATGACAAGACTAAACTCGTCATAACAAATTGAACAGAACAACGCCACGTGTATGATGACATGGCACATGTGACGTGGCAGATGACGAGGTTGGTGATGTGACAAATGACATGGCGAATGACGTGGCAATTCATATTTGGCCCATATAGCATGGGCTTTTTTCTTTTTTATTTTCAATTACAATCAGCCCAATTGGCCCAAATGTTTTTTTGGCCCAACTACAAATTGGCCTTTTTCATTATAACCCAACATTACAATTCAAGCCCATATTGTAGGCCAGCCCAATTAAAAAAGTAATCACAGAATATAAACCATAACCAATTGCATAATTATATTGTAATTACGTTCCAGCCATAATTAATTTTCCAGCCCATACAAAAGCACAACAAAAACATGAATACAAAATGATCCAGCCAACTAAACAAGTTTCCAGCCAAATAAACATCAACTAGCACCAAGTTCTCTTCTAGCCAGCTAGCACCAAGTTCCTGCACTAAAAAGGTCCTGAACTGCATGTAAAAAAACTCTAAGCTGAGAGGTTGTGAATAAACATCGCTAGATACTGAGAGGTTGCTGCTTTTTAAGCACAACTCTAAGCTGAGTCCGCTGGCGATAGGAAAGGGCTGGTGACTTCTTCAAATTCATCATCGGTACCATGTTCTGGGTCTGCATGGTGAAAATAACAGAGATATTAGTAAAACTAGCAAACAGTCATCGACATTTCCAAATAATGGATATCTGTACCATCCCGACTCTGATGATATTGATATTTTCATTGCTATAACTAGTGTTAAGACTACTATGAACTAGTACACTTGATTGGTGGTTTCTCACAACTCTACTACTAATGAGCAACGAAAAATAGTGATGCCCATACAGCACATAGCATCCATACAACGGAGCATCCTACTATTAGTGCAGCTACCAATGAACTAAAAATATATATAACTCGTAGTGCACCTACCAGTGAACTAAAAAAATATATAACTTGTATTACTATAGTATGCATAGTACTGTTCGCTGATTTATCATAAGAGAAAAACATTGTTACCTCGTTGAAAAGGTACGGCTGATAAGACAAGCGAACAGGGCCATATTATGAGTGCATGGCAATCCTACTGCCTACATTTCATAACTAGTAGTAGTGTTAGATGTAGTAGTGATCGAAGCAACATGTTCTTTTCTTTAGCAATATTTTAAGTGCTATTGTCGTTGTGCATCCATAACAGTATTAAAAAAAGAGATACAGGTAGTAATATTTTCTCATCATAGCACTATATGCAAGAGTATTACTTAAAACTACCAATAGCAGTAGTTATACTGCTACTAATATTAGTGCTATGCTCAGTACTATTATGAGTGGATGGCAACCCTACTGCCGACATTTCATAACTAGTAGCATTGGTCTTACTACCGTAAGATCTGTTTCTTTTAATTCCATTACTACGCAATTAATCACAACTACTATAAACATGAGACTACTGAATTAGTACTACCACTACTACAAGTACAACAACTTGCATTCCTACTACTAGCACTTTTACATGACTCAAAATCTGAGAAGCTGGAAATACTAATGGAAAATACTACTAATAGTGACAATTTCAGGAGCCACAATGGGTAGCAGACGCTAATCAATACTACTAATGGGCTAATC